TGTTTGTAGGGTTTTGTTGTTGTTTGGTTTTGTTTGGTGCCAGTTCTGGGCTTGAACACAGCCTGGGCACTATCCCTGAGCTTTTTCACTCAAGACTGATGCTCTACTAACTTGAGCCACAGCCCCACTTCTAAATTATTTTTTAGTAGATAATTAGCAGTGAGAATTTCATGGACTTTCCTGCCCAATCTGGCTTAGAACCGTGATCCTCAGACATCAGCCTCCTGAGTAGCTAGGAGCCAATGCCCATCTGTAGTTTGTTTTTGAAAGAACATCTTGCTAATTTTTCTGGGTCTGGCTTTGAACTTGAAATCCTTCTGCCTCTGTTTCTTAAGCAACCTAGGATTACAGCCATGGGCCATCATGTCCAGCTACTTTTGCTGAAGTTTTTTGAAGATGTTTACATCTATATTCATATGATATATTGCTATTCTGTCTGATTTTTACACAGATAGTTCAAAAAGTATGCTGTTGTTTCCACTATCTTGCAAGAATTATTCATGTGTTGTCATGAAAATTTATTATTAACAACTAGGCATGGTGGAGGTGTATACTTATAATCCAAGTTATATTGCATTCTCTTCTTTACTCCCAGATCATCAGCTTTACCAAGCAACGTGTGTGGGAGGGGAGGGACATTGGCAGGGTGCCTTAGCTTTTTTTCTCTCAGGTTGGTGTTCTACCACTTGAGCCACAAGTTCACCCTGGCATTTTTGTGATTAATTGAAAATTAGAGTTTCACAGACTTTTCTGCCTGGGATGGTTTTGAACAGCCACCTTTAGATCTCAGCCTCCTGAGTATTTAGGATTATAGGCATGAGCCATTGGTACTCAGCTTTCACTGAGATTTCTTAGGCCATCTTTGTATATAGTTACGCTATATTTCAAAATTATTTACCCTCTTTTTTTCCTTCTCTCTTTCCCCTGATCTTCCTAGATAGTCCCATAGTTATAATCATGTTCTATGAAAATATAATTATATGTTCATGTCTATAATAGATATGTCTGCTTCTAGGTCTTTTTATATTGAATATGTTTTAGGTGACATTTTAAAATTCCATTTGTACATCACTTCATTTATGTCTTTATATGTCCCATGAAGATTTGAACTCAGGGTCTTATGCTTGCTAGGTAGATGCTCTCCACGTTAAGTCATGTCCCCAGCCTTTTTTACTTTAAATATTTGGGAGATAGGGTCTTGCGTTTTTGCCCATAACTGTTTGGCCTAAACAGAGATCTTCTTATTTCTGCTTACAGAATAGCTGGATGATAGCTGTGAATCACCACACCTGGCCTTCTCTTTGAAAACTTTTAATTTCATTCGTACTTCACATCACATATGCATTCATCTTTTGATGGAGTTATTCGCTGTGCTTAGTTTGTATAAGGCACTAAGCTAAGCAAGGAGGAACGCTTGCTCTCCAGGACTGCCATGTGGCTGAAAAGAAGGAAACAGCACACTCAGAATTTGACACAGAACTTCTCAACTGTGTGACCCAGAAAGAGCAAGAAAATGCCTTCTGACACCCAGTGTCTTTGGCACTTCTTGCTTTGTTTTTACCATTATTGAATTTTTATCTAAGTATTTACTGCCTGAAAAGTCATGAATATGCCAAGTCAGTATCAAACTAAGACTATGTATATCTGCAGTGGCTCATGCCTGTAATTCTAGCTACTTAGGAGGCTAAGATCTGAGGATTGAGGTTTGAAGCCAGCCTGGGCAGGAACATCTGTGAGATTCTTATCTCCAATTAACCACCAAAAAAGCTGGAAATGAATTAGCCTTGAGTGAAAAAACTAAGGGACAGTACCCAGGCTTTGAGTTCATGCCTCAATACCAACACAAAACAAACACCCTGTGTATACCACATTGTTTAATCATTACATAGTACAATCAAAGAAATCAAGTAGTTCTAATAGGTGACTGTGATATGTCCGCAATTTGTCCAAACAAATACTACATTTTCTATGTGGACCACGATGTGGGAAAAGATTTAAGGTGACAATTTTAATAGGTATTAAAAAGTTCTGTAGGAGCCAGACATGGATGGCTCACCTGTAATCCAATCCTAGCTACTCAGGAGACTGAGATCTTCAGATCTCAGTTGGAAGCTAGCATGGGCAGAAAGGTCTGTAAGAGTCTTATGTCTAATTAACCAACAAAAAGCAGGAAGTAAAGGTGTGGCTCAAATAGTACAGTGCCAGCCTGGAGCTAAAAAGCCAAGCAAGAGTCTCCCTGAGGAGTTAGTTAGAGAGATTCTTAGAAGAAGAATGGCAAATAAACACAGGACATTCTTGGCCCTAAATGAAATGCAAGTCAAAACAACATTGAGATTCCATTTCACTCCATTTAGATTGGACAAAATCAAGAATTCTAACAATTCCAAATGCTGGCAGGGATGCTGGGAAAAGGGAACCCTATTGCACTCTTAGAGGGAATTGTAAACTAGTACAACCACTCTGGACAGCTGTTTGGAGCTTCCTCAGAAAACTAAAATAGAGTTTCCCTATGACCCAGCCATACAACTCTTGGGCATCTACTCAGAATATTACAAGTCAGGTTATGGTAAAGACACTTGCACATCTTATGTTTATTGCTGTACTATGCACAATAGCCAAGTTGTGGAAACATCCTAGATACCCTACAATAGATGAGTGGATAAAAAATAATGTGATACATATACACAATTGAATTTTACTTATCCATTAGAAAGAATGATACGTTATTTGCAGGCATAATGGATAGACCTACAACAAATCATATTAAGTGAGGTAAGTGAAGGTCAGAAAGATAAACTGCAGATGTTTTCTCACATCCATGGAAGCTAGATCTAAAATCTGACTGGATAACTGATAACTTATATAGGACTCTATGCATTTACACACAGACAAGAAGACTAAAGGAGGATATGTTCAGGGGTGAAACCCAGAGGAATAACTTATGAATATCTCTGAATATCTGAAATACTATTTATACAAATTCCAGGAAATAGAAACATGGCTTTTTTATTATTATTGTAAGTAGTGTTGTTTTTGTTGTTGTCTTTTGAGAGGACAAAAGAGGAGTGGCACAGTAGTGGAGGAAGGAAGAGTAAACAAATGTAGCCATGGTATTCAATATACGTCATGTTAAAAAAATAAACTATGTAAATTGTAGGTAGGGATGGGGAGAAGGACAATGGAAGAAAGCTAAGGAAGGGGTATCATTATCCAAGATTTGTACTCATTATCTAACTTATGAAGTTGTGACCCTTTTGTCCAACTCCCTAATTAAATAACAAGAAAAAACTTAGCAAGGAAAAAAAAAGACAATAAATCTAAAGGACAATAGGAAAAAAAAAAGAAAAAAGAGTGTGAGGTCTTGAGCTCAAGCCATAGTCTGGCACAAGGAAAAAAAGAAAGCCTTATGGGAAAAGAGAATAATTTCTACCTGAAAAGCTGGAGAAGAGCTGGACCTTGACCTTGAAGCCTTAAGCAGGCTTCCCACTGGCAGAAATTGAAAGGAAATGAAAAGTTGTGATTTTGAGAAATACCCATATGCTGTGATTCTGCAACCCCCTGTTAGGAATCTGTTCTACAAAAATGAAACCAGCAGGGTCTGGCAGGGTGGCTCAGTGGTAGAGTGCTTGCCTGGCATGCACGAGGCTCTGGGTTTGATCCTCAACACCACATAAACAGAAAAGGCCGCAAGTGGCGCTGTAGCTCCAGTAGTAGAGCACTAGCCTTGAGCTGAAGAGCTCAGGAACAGCATCCAGGCCTCGATAGTTCAAGTTCCATGATCGACCCTCCCCCCCAAAACAAATGAAAACAGCAGTAGGAAAAGACATATGTACAAGGATACTGAGAGAGACTTATTTATTGTACCGTCTAGAGACAATGTAAGTATGTTGACAGTAAGAGGATCGAGCAAATTATGCTATAAATAAATGGAATATCTGAAGCTTTTAAACAGAATAAAAAGATCTATAAAAAAATCTATTTGTAAAATTATTCCTGATGGGCACCAGAATCAAATACAGTGACAACACTTGCATCTTGTATATATATTTCTAATTTGGGAAGGGGAAGGGAAATAACAAAATGCTGAAATAAGGATACAGGGTGACTCATTGTAACAATGAGATGTAGAAGACACTATGTTGAAAACGAACGTTACAACTTGGGGGGGAGGGAGGAGTTGGGGAGGTGGAATGGAAGGGATGGTAGGGGAAAAACAAAGGAGGGGGTAACAATGCTAGATTGGAAATATACTCATAACCTTACTCATGTAACTGTAACCCCTCCATACAGTATCTTTACAACAAAAAAAACTGTGTTGTAGTTAGATCTGATTGTGTAAGGCGACATCTTACAGATATGTTGATGCATAGAGACAGGTGTAGAAGGATACAACATGGAATAGCATTGATTATTAGAGTAGTGGCGGTTAAGAGGGGAGCTGGGAGGACCGCAAATAGGTAACTGACTTGTTTTTTTGTCAGTCGCGGGGCTCGAACTCTAGGCCTGAACGATGTCCCTCAGCTCTTCAGCTCAAGGAGAGATACCACTAGAGCCACAGCGCCACTTCCGGTTTCCTAGAGGTTAATCGGAGATAAGAGTCTCTAGGCCTTTCCCTGCCCTGGCTGGCTTTGAACCGTGATCCTCAGAGTAGCCTCCTGAGTAGCAAGGATGACAGGCGTGAGCCACCGGCGCCCGGCCAGGTAACTGATTTTTATTCATCTCCCCTCAACACTATTGGGGGTTTGTGAATTGTTTTCACACTGCTCTCTCTTCTAAGTCTCCCTCCCCAGCCCTGCACCTCACCGTGGAGGCCCCCCGCTAGGCTGCTGAGCTCTAGGTGGCGCGGCCGCTTTAAGGAGGCGGCGCCGGGGCGGTCTGCGCGCGCTGATTGGCAGAGCGGACGCCACGTGGCCGCGCGGGCGGGCCTCCGGGAGGCCCGGGGCGCGGAGCTGTTCCTGGGGGCGCTGGGGGGCGTGTGGGGGGCCGAGTCTCCCGCCGTCGGGGGCGGGTTGACCGATGGGCGTGCGGAGGACCCTGGTCGGCCTCACCTTTTGTACCTGCTACCTGGCTTTTTACCTCTTGAACAAGGTGAGGGGGCGGCGCGGGCGTCCGTGATTGGTCGTGGGTTCGAACCCGGCCCTCCCAGGTGTCCTCTTGGCTGTTCCCTGATAGGATTGGAATCCCCATCCTCGCTACCCAAGAAGGAATTCTTGGTTAAAACCGCTCTGAATGTCTCCTTAGAACAGGATCCCCCCCCCCTCCCCCGGGGTCTTTCCTGGGAACTTAATTTGGGGCCATGAGGACTTCTTTTAGGGAACCGAAAGCAATGTACCTGCTGGGGGGGGGGAGTTGCACCATTCTGCTCCCGCCCCCCCCCCAACCTGCCCCTGCCTTTGTGCCAGACCCCAAAGTTCCAGAAGCATTTACACAGAGAAGATGATTCTGTCATCTTTTACCCCACTGATTTCCATCCCCACGCATTTCTGCTACACCCAAGCAACTTGTAAAGTAAAACATCAAGTTAGAAATAATGCCGTGAAATCCTCTGGGTTTTGAACGAAGTTCTTCAGCTTTCCAGGTTGATGCTCTGCCACACTACCAGTCCATGAAATCCTTTTGATGAGGAAGCAAAGATGGGAGGTTGTTGTTGGTGGTGGGGGGCAGTGGCTTTGGGGTGGGCCACACATTATGGATCCATGGGCATGAACCGGGCATTGTGTGCTGGTCTGTATTCTAGACAGAGCCAAAGTGGTCCTGGGGCCCAGGACCTCCTTGCTCACTGTGGGGGGCTCTCCTGCTCTCTCCCCACCGGCCCCTACTTGCTACTATCTCCTCCTTGGCTGCTTTCAGTATATTCTCAGAATGTCTCTAACTTTCTTTCTCAGAAGACTTTTTTAGTTGTGGGGACTACCTTTGAAGATGCTTACATGCAGCTTGGCTGGGAAGAAGCGATTGGTTTGCATCCTGACTTCTCTTACTTGGTTTTTGGGACTTTAATCTTTGTAAACCCAAGTTCCCTTGCACTTGGCAGGCCGGTGCTTTCCCACTTGAGCCACACTTCCCGTCCCCTTCTCATGGATTATTTTCTAGGTAGGGTCTCACTTTATGCCTACCTGGCCTGGGCTATGAACTTCCTACATGTGTTTCTCCTGGTCATTGGGGATGATACAGGTGCATACCCCTGCTCAAAGCCATTTTGCTTCCCTGTTAGTGGGGATAATGAAACATGTCACAGGGCCCAACTATTAGTTGAGAAGAAGTGTTCTGAACTTTTATGCCCAGCTGGTCTTGAACTGAAATCCCCAGTTCTCTGCCTCCCAAGCAGCTAGTATTACAGGCTTGAGCCACTGTGTTAGACTTGTAAACCTAACATATTTAACTTTGAGATGGGAGAGAGAACTCTTGGTGGGGTTGTTGTGAGAATTAGTTGAAATGTTGTTTGTAGGTGGTCACCCTAGTGGCCCATCATCATGCTCCATAAGGTATGTGACAGTTACTCTGGAAGAAAAGAAAGGAAGAGAGAAAAAACATTTTTTTTCTTTCTTACCTGTACTGGAGATTGAACTCAGGCCCTCATCTCAAGCACTCTATCAATTGAGCCACAGCCTCAGTCTGCTTTTAGTTTGTTTTTCAGATATCGTTTCTTCCTTTTTGTTCAGGCTGGCCTCAGAACTGCAGCCTCCCACTTTTGCCATCCTAGTAGCTAGAATTGCAGATTGTGTACTACCAAGACCAGCTCATTTTCATTTTCATTTATTTATTTTTGTTGGTCATGGGGCTTGAACTCTGGGCCTGCATGCTGTCTCTCAGCTCTTCAGCTCAAGGAGAGTGCTCTACCACTTGAGCCACCGTGCCACTTCTGGTTTTCTGGTGGTTTATTGGAGGTAAGAGTCTCAATGACTTTCCTGCCTGGGCTGGCTTTGAGCCATGATCCTCAGATCTCAGCCTCCTGAATAACTAGGATTACAGGCATGAGCCACTGTGCCTGGCCCAGCTTATTTTTTGAGATTGGAGTCTCAATAACTTTTCCCCTGGCTTGGCTTTTAACCTTGATCTTCTCATGTCTGCTTCCTGAGCAGTTGAGATTACAGGTCTGCACTACCATGCCCAGCTTAAAATCTTTTGCTTACTATGTGATACAATAATTGAATAATTGTTAGCTTTGTTTCAACATAGAAGATTTTTGTTAGAGACCTGCTTGTGAAATCCTGGCCTTTTCTATTTAACTGAACTTACCTGTCAAGCTAACCTGCTGGATATATTGTTAATATTTTACTTTGAATCAAATGACCCTTCCCTTTATCTGTAGAGAAAGGACAAAGTAACACATCTTTTATGAAAGCTTACAAGCCTTGGCATTGGTTAGAAATAATAATAATAATTTAAGAAATCCAGCATACTGGGAGGTGGGAGGCTGGGAAGGGATGTGAAGGGTAAACCAAAGGAGGAGGCTGCAATGCTTGGTAAGAAATGTACGCATTATCCTGCCCATGTAATTGTAACCCCTCTGTACAGTATGTTCACAAATAAAATTAAAAAAAAAAGAAATCCAGCATACTAAAAACTTTTAGTTCAGAAATTAACAATCCTCCTAGACATGCATTTGTATTTACGGCATTGCTGTTTATTGAAGCACCACACATTTTATAGTTGATATAAAAAGGACTTCCCTGTTCATAATGCCTTACAATGTTAGGTAAAATTAAACCAAATTATTGTGTCTTCATGAGTATATAGTATAGTAATAGAAACTGCAGATTCCCAAGGACTCTCAGGATTTAGATGTGATTTTGGCAGGGCCGTTGCTCACACCTGTATCCCCTGCTACCGGGCAAACAAGTTATCTCAGAGATGAACAAAGAATAAGCCAGATGAAAAAGAGAAGGACAGTCACAGCAGAAAGAAGGGAGATCCAGGAAGGTGACTTAAGGTGGGTGGGGGAGGAGGCGAGGTCGAGAGTGGGAGAGGGAAAGGGCTGGCTGGGGCCAGGTAGTTTTCACAACAGGATTCCAGAGAGGAAGTCTGTGACTGCTTCAAGCGTGAATCATTGATGAATGCCATCACATCTTCTCAAGCAGGACAGACAGGCTGCCTGCGGTGATGTGGGTCACCTCAGGCCAAGTGCTGTCATTTCCTTCAAGTTTTTGCTTTCCATGGTTTCAATTAGGGCCCCAAAGTGTCCATCTGAAAATCCCATAAATCGTTTGTAAGTTGTAATGGGCTTTTATTACAGTGAATTGCTATACTCATTCTGTTTCATTATTACAGTGAATTGTTATGGAGACCTGGGTTAGGTGAGTGAGTAAGATGTTCCTCTATCCTGAGGAAAGTCCCAACAGTCACCTGGGCTCAGGCAGACACCTGTCATCCTCTTATACCCTGAAGGCCAAATGTGCTTGGTTTTTTTTTTGTTGTTGTTGTTGTTGGTTTGTTGGCTTGTTTTTTTGTTTTTGGTGGTGCTGTGATTTAAACTCAGGCTTCATTCTTGCTAGCCAAGCACTCTGTCACTTGAGCCATGCTCCTAGCCCTTTTTGTTTTAGTTTTTTTTTTTCATATAGGATCATATGCTCTTCTTCCCAGATCAGCCTTGGATTGAGATCCTCCTTCTTCTTTCTCTCAGGTAGTCAGGATTAAAGGCATATACCACCAGGCCCAGCTTTTTCTCTGGAGGATTTTACTGAAAAGACCTTGCTTTTCTTTCTAATGACATTTTGTTCTGAGAAAGACTTCTCACTGACATGAGAAAGTTCTGAAATTTTAGAACTGATTCTATTTGTCATAGATTTATTTTTTTTTACTGTCGCTTAGCAAGGTGAGGTGAGATGTTCACCATATTGTTAATTTAATTTTTTTGTATTGCTGGGCATGGAACCCATCCCAGGCCTTACACATGCAGGCAAGTGTTCTACACTGAGCCACACCCTACCCTGAGCTTTAGCAGTTTCTAGGCTGATCGTTTTTTTTAGGCCAAAGCTAAGCACACAAGAACTGAGTAAATACTTGGTGTTGTAATAAAGGTTGTTAAGGATGTTATGAAACATAACCAGGCGCTCAAACGATACTCCCTTTTCTGTTTGAGAATAGAAATATTGAGGAGGAGGGGAAGCAAGAAGGACCATATTAAACTACTTGAGTAAATAGACTTCAGTTGTAGATGTAGAACACAGGAGCTCATAGAGGGGAGAGGAGGTGTGGACTAATCTCATTCTTTGTTTTTTATATCATGTGAAGAATTAGTAGGGATTTTTCCTTAAGTCATTTAATGGTTTTAGAATTTAAAACTGTCTTGAGCTGGACATAGTGGCTCATGCCTGTAATCCTAGCTTCTCTAGAGGTAGACATCTGGAGGATCATGGTTAGAAGTCAGCTTGGGGAAAAGGTTAGTAAAACCCCCTATCTCAACCAACATGACAGTGTGTGTCTGAAATTCTAGCTATGCAGGAGATATAGCTATATAGGAGGATCAAAGTCTGAGACCAACACCTGGGCAAAACTGCAAGATCCAAATAAAAAAATAGGCCTGGAGGGGTAGGGATATGGCTCAAGTGATAGACTGCTTTCCTAGCAGAGCAAGGCTCTTTTTCAAATTCTAGTACCACATGTATTTGTATCTTGAAATATTCATAATAGAAAAAAACAGAAAAACACATCAAGAGAAATACACCATGATTCCTCCACTCATATAAATTGATTAAAAGACAATAGAAAAGAAACTGATCTTAACCGAGTTTTTAAGAAAAATCCATTCTTGGGGGCACCAGTGACTCACACCCATACTCCTAGCTACTCAGAAATTGAGATCTGAGATGCTATTCAAAGCTAGCCTGGGCAGGAATGTCTAAGAGACTCTTATCTCCAATTAAGTCACAGGAAAAGACAGAAGTGATGCTGTGGCTAAAGTGGTAGAGTGCTAGCCTTTGAGCAAAAGGAGCTTAGGGACAGCACCCAGGCCTGGAGTTCAATCCTCAGGACTGGAAAGAAAAATCCATTCTACAGTGAGACGTACAAAGTCGTTATGTCGAAAACGAACTTTACAACTTTGGTGGGGGGGAAGGGAGGATGGGATGGGAAGGGGAAACAAAGGAGGAGGCTACAATGCTTGATAAGAAATGTACTCATTATCTTGCCCATGTAATTGTAACCCCTCTGTACAGTATTTTCACAATAAAAAAAATCCAATCTCTTTAGTATAACTTAGAAAACCATTAGTATATCTTGTACGTGACTTTGGGGGAAATAAAGACTTTCTTGAAACTTGAAGTCCTTGAATTTCCTCTGTAGGAATTCTGTCATTCTTTTTATTTGAAATGTCTTTAACTTGATGTTTGTTTTGCAGTATGTCCTTTCCGTCCTGAAATTTACCTACCCTACCTTATTCCAAGGGTGAGTATCTTGGGTGCTTTTTATTCACATTTGTAGGAAATGTCCAGTCATTGTCAAAAATTGTCCTTTGAAATAGTTTTAATGATTTCATAAGTTTATCATCAAATAGTCAAATGACATATGTGTTTAGCCATTATGTTTGTGGGTGTTTAAATGTGTTTCATTTTAGGAGCATAGAAGCAACAATATTATCAGGTATTTTGTATTCAGACCTACCCAAATTCCAACTGGTTCTTGGGGATAGATATCTACTCAAGAAATTCGCTAAAAGAACATGAACTTTATCAATATTCTCTTTCAATATTAATCATTTGTTTCCAAAAGCATTTTACTGGTTTGCCTTGCTACCCAGCCTCTGTGAAAACTTCTGTAAGAGTGTAGTTAGGCCATGAGTTACTTTTCTCTTTTTGATTTGATGAGCAAGTCATTGTACTTTTTTTTTTTTTTAGAATTTTCATAAAGTCATACATTTTTCATATACTTATTATTGTCTTTTATCTTCTTTCAGTAAATGGTACACACACACACACACACACACACACACTACAAAGGGCATTGTGTGTGTGTGTGTGTGTGTGTGTGTGTGTGTGTGTATGTGTGTATGTGTTTGCTGATACCAGAGTTTGAACTCGAAGCCTTGGGCTAGTTTGGCATGCTTGCTGTGCTAGTACTCTTCAGCTTGAGCCACACCTCCAGAGTTTTTCTAGTTAATTTGGTGGCTCTCAGACTTTCCTGCTGTGGCTTCAAATTATGACTCTTTGCATCAAAGTCTCCTGGGTAGCTAGCTAGGATTATAGGTATGAGCCATCCTTCTTGGCTAACTTAAAGCATTTTTATGTTTTAAGGATGACATTACTTGTCTATCATAGATTTTTTATATGTTTTTTATTGTAAAAATACTATACAGAGGAGTTACAGTTACACGAGTAAGGTAATAATACATTTCCTATTGAGCATTGTTACCTCCTCCTTTGTTTTTCCCCTACAGTCAAAGATTGTTATATAATCCTTTTTTCCCTGGACATCAATTTATAGTTATTTTGATTATTTATGTGTTCTATTTTTTTTTTTTTGTCAGTTGTGGGGCCTGAACTGTCAGTTGTGGGCCTGAACTCTGAGTCTGGGCGCTGTCCCTGAGCTTTTCAGCTCAAGGTGAGCACTCTACCACTTGAGCTACAGTGCCACTTCTGGCTTTTTCTGCTTATGTGGTGCTGAGGAATTGAACCCAGGGTCTTATGCATTTAGGGCAAGCACTCTACCACTGAGCCACCATAAGTGTTCTATTTTTATATGGAAAGATATGTATTGAAGCCAGGCACCAGTGGCTCACAACTGTAATCCTAGCTACTCACGAGGCTAAGGTCTGAGGATCATGGTTCAAATCCAGCCCAGGCAGAAAAGTTGGTGAGACTTGTATCTCCAAATAGCTACTAGAAAAGCTCAAGTGGAGCTGTGGTTCAAAGTTGTAGAGTAGTAGTCTTGAGCAGAATTACTCAGGGACAGCATCCAGGCCTTGAGTTCAAGCCTACAATGGACCACAATGTTTTGTGTCTTTTGTGATAGTTTGTTTTCTCTATGTAGATACTATGTAGATATTAATCTGTGTGTTTTTTTTGGGGGGGGGTCTGGTCGTGGGGCCTGAGCTCTGGGTCTGGGCGCTGTCCCTCAGCTCTTCAGTTCAAGGCTAGCGCTCTACCACTTAAGCCACAGCACCACTTCCGGCTTTTTTCTTTTTGCTTATGTGGTGCTGAATCGAACCCAGGCCTCAGGCATGCAAGGCAAGTGCTCTACCACTGAGCCACCTTCCCAGCCCTCATCTGTGTTTTAATAAAGCTTTATTTAGTTGTGAATGGTTATCAGTTTATTTTGTGTAAGAGGAACTCCTCCCCTCCAATAGTTAATTTATACTAGTCCCATCTTTCCTTTCGCCTTTAAGTTATTAAAATAAAATTGTTCTTCTAAGGTCTCTTGTTGGGTAGTTGTTCATTTTTAGGAAAAAAGGGCTAGTTCTGGATTGTTCTAGTGATTATGCCATTTAAATAGATAGTAGAGAAAATCCTCCCCAAGTACTGACCTTTATTCAACATGTTCTTTATATTTCAAGTGAATTTCAAAATAATTTTTATCATGTTTCTCTCCAGTATTGCATGGTGAAAAGATTTATTTAGTTATCTATTTAATTTACTGTGGTGCTGGGGATGGAACCCAGGGCCTCCTCTATGCTAGGCATGTGGTCTACCACTGACCTACATTCCCATCCTCCATGAAAGTTTATTTTACTGTATCTTCTATGATCAGGCATATTTTAGTCAACAAATCTGGGCTGATGACTTCTCTCTAAGTGACTGGGAAGCATGTTTGGTCATGATTGCTTTTTCTCATCTTTCCAGATGGAGAGATTTAGGGAATGAATGAGAGGAAGAGTGATATTTTCACCTAGATTGCCTTTCCCCTTCTTATCCATGGTTAGGTGGGATGCACATCTACAAAGGCTGGAATTATCCTTCCTCTTTCACTAGAAATTCTCCAGTGCTTGGATACCTGGGTTGGTGGATTGAGAACAGTTGGAGGATGCCTAGGGTAGGGAGGGGAAAGGCTAAGGTAATATGTTAAGGCATGTGGGATTTCAGGATGGTAATACTTGGATGAGAGCAGGGATTTGAGAGTCATCCTGACCGAACTGGTGGCTGTGGGTGACGTTGTTCAGGAAAAGCATAGAATAAAGAGAAGAATTTGAATACCAGCACTTGCCAGATAGTTGGTCCCAAGGGCATAGTAGTGGTGGAGACGAGAGGCAGATAACTGTAAGAGTGGGAGGAAGGGGTTGACTATGACATTTGTATCCATCAACAGGTCTGTCATGGTTGGGTTCTGATAGGGGCTATAGCACTGTATTAATTCACCTTGCCTTGTGTCTTTTTCAGGTGGCAGACATTTGTTGGTGCATTTTTGCTTCATGTGTCATGGAAACTGGGCTGGGTAGAGATAAACTGCAGTTCAAGGTATAATAACCTCATGTTCTTGATTCATGATTCACATACTGCTTACATTTAATATTATTCACCTTCTCACAGAATTGCACTGGAAAACATAGATATGTATGTGAGTTGTTTAGTCGCTTAGTTACTTCTAACCTTGAGAATCAATGATTTTTTTTTATATGTGTTTGCCAAACTTGGGGCTTGAACTCAGGACCTGGATGCTATTCCTGAGTTTTTATGCTCAAGGTTAGCACTTGAGAAACAGCTCTACTTCTGGCTTTCTTTTGGAAAAGAAATTGGAGAAAAGAGTCTTATGGACTTTACTGCCTGAGCCAACTTTGAACTGTGATCCTCAGATCTCAGCCTCCTGAGTAGCTAGGATTATAGGCATGAGCCACCAGTGCCTGGCCTCCAAATAATTTTTAATCTACTTTCTATTGTTGGCCCTTTCTAATGAGGGAAAATTTTGTGCTCTCAAGTTTTCAAGTATGAATTCTACATTTAAAATTCTCTTCTACATTGCCTGGTGACAAGAGACTTTTAAGATGAAAAAGAACCCTCCACCCTTTAATTTTCCTTTGAGAAGTTCTGCTGTAGAACCATTAACAAACATCTTGGATAATCTTCAAACCAACTCCTCACTGTTCACTATGGAATGAATAGCTTACCCATCAGTTAGTTCCAGATCCTGCTTATTTTAAATGAGTGACTGTTTTTAAGTGAGGTGGCTTATTTCATTGAAGTTACTGATGGTAAATATGGGCAGGCATGGTGGTTCATACCTGTAATCTCAGCTACTCAGGAGATTGAGACAGGAGAACTGCAGGCCCTAGTCAGCCTCAATGAAAGTAGGAGACCCTATCTAAAATCAAACTAAAGCAAAAAAAGGGCTGGATACATGAATTTTTTTTGGTTGGTCATGGGGCCTGAACTCTGGGCTTGGGCGCTGTCACTCAGCTCTTCAGCTCAAGGTTAATGCTCTACCACTTGAGCCACAGTGCCACTTCCGGCTTTTTTTCTTCTTATGTGGCGCTGAGGAATTGAACCCAGGGCCTCAAGCACTCAAGGAAAGCACTCTACCACTGAGCCACCTTCCTAGGCCTTGCATGTATGGCTTAACTAGTAGAGCACTTGGCAAGTGAGCATGTGGCCCTGAGTTTAAACTCCAATGTTGCTAAAGAGGGAGAAAAGAGAATTTTCCCAATATGCCAGGCACCAGTGGCTGTAATCCTAGCTATTTGGGAGTCTGAGATCTGAGGATCATGGTGTGAAGCCAGCCCAGGCAAAAAAAGTTCGTGAGACTTATTTTCAATAAGCAACTAAGAAAAAAGGAAGTGGTGCTGTAGCTCAAATGATTGAGCACAAAGAGGATTGGGGAAAGTGTCCAGGCCCTGAGCTCAAGCCCCAGGACTGTCCAAAAGAAAAAAAAAGAATTTCCTCAATATTTCTTACTATGCTAGTATGTTATTTAGAGTGATTGTTATAGTTTTATGAAAAGCTATCTTTGTTCACAAGGCAGAGTTACTTATGTTTATGGTACATTTCTCTTGCCTTCTCTTAGGAGGAATGCTTTAAGTACTTATTAGAGATTATTTTGTGTGTGGGGGATACTGAAAGTAACTTTCAGAAATGCCTCTGGAAACTTACTGAGAGCCACTGGGAGGACATAATACTGGGAAAAAAATCCTGGGTGTTGGCATGGTATTGGCATGGTGCTTACAGCAGTTGGGGGCAGAGAGGCTGAGGAGAGGGGAGGTTAAAGGGTAGAGTATTGAACTTTATGGTATAGGAAAGCCTGCAACATGCCCAGGAGTGGATGGAACTGCTTTAATTGCCACAGACCACTTCTCATGCAGCTGTGCTCTGTCTCCACAAGGCCCCTTTCTGGCCTCTTCCTAAGGTCAAGTGAACAGTATGAACTAGAAAGCTCCCAGAGTGGAGCTCACATTTGTATATCTTGTGCTTAGCTTAGATATTCAATCACTAGCAACTGTTTGCTGCTAATATTTCTTTCTCCTATTAGATCATACACATGTATTATTCATTATTCAGGGATTTATAAGACTTTTTAAGCTTTTCATTTCCTTTTGTTTTCATTTTTGGATAGTATTTCAACTGGTAGTTCAACTCAGGGCTCATGTTTGCTTAGGCAGGTGCTCTACCCCTTGCACAAGTATACCAGTCCACCAGCCTTTTTGTGTTGGTTTATTTTGAAAATAGCTGGCCTTTTGCTTGAGCTGGCTAGACTGCAATTCTCCTATTTGTGCTTCCCCTAGTCACTGGGATGACAGGCATATGCCACTGTGCTTAGCCATTGGTTGAAATGAAATCTGTCTCTCTCTCTCTCTCTCTTTCTTTCTTTTTTTTTAAAAAAAATTCTGGGCTACCCTTGAACTGCCAAGAGATGTCAGATAAGGAGCTATCTCTGCCTTCCAAGTAGTTCAGGTTACACTTTTTTTTTTGTCAGTTGTGGAGCTTGAACTCTGGGCCTGGGCGCTGCCCCTCAGCTCTTCAGCTCAAGACTAGTGCTCTACCACTTGAACCACAGCGCCCACTTCTGGCTTTTTCTGTTTATGTGGTGCTGAGGAATCGAACCCAGGGTCTCATGCATACGAGGCAAGTACTCTACCACTGAGCCACCTTCCCAGCCCCTGGTTCCACCTTTGGAACATTACAAGGTTTTCATTTTTGTTGACTGCATTTCTCAGTTTGACATCTGGTATGTTACTGCACATTATTCCTGGGGGCTGTTTCAGAGGCTCACTCAGCTCCACAGCTAGCCCAGCTCCAGAGAGGGGTGAAATGCATGGAGCAGCCACCACGGGTGGCTTCCCTGACAAACTGGAGCCCATAGCAGGGTCCCAGGCCTGCTGCGCTTAAACTGGCCTTTCAAACATGGCGGTGTTGGGCCCTGAGAAGTGGTTTCTTTCAGGCTGTTATTGTCTGTCAGGGATTCTAGGAGTCTTATGGTAGGTGCTGAAATCCCATTTCAGTATGGATTGGAGTTATATGTTGATGATCTTAGACCAGAAAGTAAAGCATGTTTAGAGAGGTAAGAGGAGCCAAAAAGAAAAGTTTTCATAAAATGGAATTTTATGGAACCCATATAACATGGTCCCTTGTGTCTAGCCAGGGGCCCTGTCTTGTGTTTGAAGCCTTGGGTGCAGCATCTCATAAGTCCCAGAGATTGGGACCCAAGCTGCTCTATTTTAAGCCAGGCCAGCTGAGAAGCAGGAGAGTAAATATTTAAGGTCTGGGGGTCTGCACAGTTCCTGTGATGATTTCAGTGGGAAATCATCCATGGCTGATTCCCGAACATCGCACCAATAGAGTGCTGTTTTCAGAAATCAAGAGTTCGGCACTTAGAGCTCCAGTTTGCTGACTCCTGATTTAACTTGTGCTCTGAGGACAGGATCATCACAAGGCCCTTGGGGTCAAGTAATGTCCCAGCTGGACTTTATCAAGGGAATGGCTGAGACCTTGAGTTGGAAGAGTGAAGAGTTCGGGAGAAAGGTCTGAGAAATGTAGAAGAGCAAAAAAACCCCAAAAATCTAGCTGTTTTAGAATGAGGGAGATAATAGATGTGGAAGTTCTTTTAACTGCAAAGCAATCATTGACTTTTGCTGTGTGTGTGTGTGTGTGTGTGTGTGTGCATGCTCGTACTGGTACTGGTGCTTGAACTCAGGACCTGAGTGCTCTCTTTTGAATAGTTTTGCTTACAACTCCACTTGAACCTTTTTTTTTTCCTGCTTTGTTGGAGATAACAATCTCTCAGACTTTTCTACCTGGGCTGGCTTTGAACCAGGATCCTCAGATCTCAGCCTTCTGAGTAGCCAGATTTACAGATGTGATAGTTGACTTTATAGTTGTAAGGTATTACTGGTTTAGGCAATGCCAGTAGACAGCAGTCAGGTGTGAGCCTTGGTCTAGCTCTTGTATTATTTTCACATTTGGAAAGTGTTCTAGATCCACTAGATGTCACTAGAACATAAGAGTTTAAAAAAAAAATCAGGGCACAGAGCCCTTATGGCACCCAGGAACAGAAAAGTAGCGAGTGTTTTCAGTGAGCAGATGTTCTCTCAATAATGCATGCTCTATTTGAAAAACAAGTCATTTAATTTAATTAGCCATCATCTCAATAACAACAGTTTTGTGATTCGTGCCAGTAGACTTTTGTTAGCTGCTTGTAAAATGCTTTATTCATCAGGGTCTTAGGGAAGAGAGAACATGTATGCCAGTAAAAAATGAGTCTGTGATTGGAGCAGGATGAAGTATTTGTACTTAGGAATCATTGAAGGAAAGTTACACATCACCATAGTTTCAAACCAGTTAAGTCAAACCCTTGATAAGTCCTTCAACATGATTAGAGCTATAATTCATCCAACTGTGAGTTGATGTTAGCTCCCCCCCCATCCACATTGTATACACACATGTACATACAGACATGCACACACTAACTAGCTTAGCAGCTCTTCAGCGGCCTGAGATCCAACCAAGTCCACTGCAGGGCTTAATCCATCTTCTACCCTTTGTGGTCAAGGAAAGAAGTTAACACAAGAGGCCCAGATGGCACTAGCTGATGACTTAGAAGAAGAGAAAAAAGAGGGCTTTTGGCTGTCTTAGAACTAGACAGTGTTGATTTCATAAAGGAGAGAAGGGCAGTATATGGTTTCTCTAAAAGGTGATTTTGAGTGTGTGAGTGTATGAGTGTGTGTACACGTACACGCATGTGTGCGTGTGCGGGTACCAGTACTGGGGCTTTAACTCAGTGCCTGCTGCGCTGTCCATTAGCTTTCTTGGTTGAGGTTGGAGCTCTACCACTAGAGCTACAGCACTACTTTTGGTTTTCTGGTGTTTAATTGGAGATAAGAGTTTCACAGGGGCTGGGAAAGTGGCTCAGTGGTAAAATGCGTGCCTGGCATGCATGAGGCCCTGGGTTCGATTCCTCACCACATAAGCAGAAAAAGCTGGAAGTGGTGCTGTGGCTCAAGTGGTAGAGTTCTCACCTTGAGCTGAAGAGC